AGTGTATTAAGTATGACAGTGTTGATGTCAGTGTATTAAGTATGACAGTGTTGATGTCAGTGTGTTAAGGATGTCAGTGTTGATGTCAGTGTATAAAGGATGTCAGTATTGATGTCAGTGTATTAAGATGACATTGTTGATGTCAGTGTGTTAAGGATGACAGTGATGATGTCAGTGTTGATGTCAGTGTATTAAGGATGACAGTGATGATGTCAGTGTTGATGTCAGTGTGTTAAGGATGTCAGTGTTGATGTCATTGTTTAAAAGATGACAATGTTAATGTCAGTGTGTTAGGTCTGACAGCGTTGGTGTTAATGTGTTAGGGATGACAGTTTGTAAGAGATGGGTCTGTTAATGTCAGCATATAAGATACCATGGCAGCGTACTGGGTGTAACAGAGACTTTGGTATGTCTTGTCTGTAATAAGTAACTGATCATGCTAACTGCAGGCACCAGGTAACACTGTTATTTTACAATTACCTGAGCAAGCATAGGTTCCTTCATCTTCCCCGTCACCACAGTGGTCATAGCCATCACACTTTAAATGCTCTGGAACACAGTGCTTTTGTTTCTCGCAGAAATAATAGCTATCCAAAAAACTACAAAAAAATACTGGAAAAAAACATGTCTAATAGAAATAGGCAAGGCTTGAAAATAAGCATTAAATATGGCTACTCTAAATTTAAAGAATTTGAATTAATAATTTTCCTTAAAAAATATTGCCTTAGTCATGTGTGTGTGTGCGCACATGCCCACAATCCCATTGTTATTGAAATCACAATCATACGTCCAGTCACCTTGATTTCGCAATTTTAATTTTAACTTAAAAGTAAATGGGGACTGCCATGTATATAACACTTGTAAATGGTTCACTTGATTGGTGCAGTGACATGCTGTATAAACAGATTAGGCATTTGTGAACTCCGAGAGCCTCAGATCTCTGACCCTGTGTTTGTGTTTCCATATATTAGGTAGTGGTACTTAATTGGTGGCTCGGAGTGATTAATTTAGGCATTCATGCTCCCAACTGATTACTTTAAGTTGCATTCCCAGAGATTTAGATTGATCCAGAGATTAAGATTTAGATCGACCTAACTCCCTGGGGGTTCACGCTAAATTGCAGTCAGCCGAGCGCGCACCATAGTTAATTACCCCCTGACAGCTTTTAGTAGGCGGGACAGACGCTTAAGCCAGCTAAGCTGACAGTAATCTAGTGAGACTACCCACAGGGATAGATCGATCTAAAATCTATGGGAATGGGGTCTAAGGCTCATTGTAGCACACAGCAATTATTTTTATGAGGTCTGAGGCTTTCAATCAAACAACCCTCAAGTTTACACTTGACAAGCAAGCATGTACAGATTTTTGAAAATAAAGAAGCTGGTTCTCACCAATTCCGTAAAGGGATATCAACTGTGAAAATGTCTATTCGCCTCTCAAATACATCGCAATAAGGACCCAAAATATTAGACCTCACATTTGATGAGTGAAAAGGCCTTATCCCTTTAGTTGTATACTTAACCATTCCCTCTGATCTAAGGGCCCACTAGTAGTCTGTAACAGAATTATTGTATCTGACCCTGTGGGATTTGAGCAACTGGAACGTGTTCCTCACCAAACACACCCTTTGTATTTGTCTGTTGGGGCAATTTCACATCATGGTGCTGAGTGGCGCACATCCCTGTTTATGTTACGTAATGCAAGTTAAGCATGGCCTCTGATGTACTCCCAGACTCCCAGCAAAGTGACTACATCCAACTCCACAATTTCCTCCTCTGCTGCTGAGCCAGTGTTAAGGGCAGGTAGGGGTGGGGTAGTTACTTAACAACATATAAGCTAATTGGATAAATTCCCACAGGGCCTTTACTTTAATTCTGTATACTATTTAAGAAGACCCTGATATTAGAGGGTAACTTAACTGATCAAAGGTAGAACATTCTCTCTGATATTATCTGGCCGTCTGTCCATCTTTCTTTTCTCAAAAGCCATATTAAAAATAAATTTATCTTAATTATCAAACAAACTTACATCTGCTTGAACCTGTGGGAGCATATGCAAAGACAAATTTACTTCTGGAACATGATTTAGTTAGTCTTCCGGTCAACCTGAGAAAGACTCCATCATCTTGGGACCAACCTGTAGATGGCATGTGAAGATGACGAACTGAGTATGGCGACCCTTTTGCCAGCAAGGCACCCTCAGAATGCCAGCTGTCTCTCACTTCAAGCTCTGTGAAACAGTATGGAGGAAACATAATGAGGAAATGAAAAAATTAACTGTTATGTGCAGTTTATCTTCCATTGTAACACACAGAAAAGAAAAAATCAATTACAGTGTGAGCCTAGAAAATATCATGTTACAGTCATTTCAAGTTCTCTTGACAGGTGCATTATAAATATCGCAAGGCCTGCTGGGTTTAATTTCTAAACTGGTAAGTAAAAAAAATGAATAGGGTATGCCTTTGTGATGAAAGGAAAATTGGTGAAATTTCCAGGATATTATTCAAGAATCTTCTTTTATTCATCTATTTTGCATAAGAGGGCCTAACACTCGTTGTACTTGTAATTCTGTGAGAAAGCTTCTACTTCTACATGTACTGGTACTGTACTGTTACTACTAATAAAACTGCTGCTGCCACTACCACTACCACTACCACCACCACCACTACCACTACCACTACTACTACTACCAAACTACTATTACGGCAAATAACAAAAACAAATGTATGTGCATTACCCATTCCATAGCAGCTTCCAGAACTTATTAACTTTGCATACGTATCAATCCACATATAGCGATGAGCAGTGAAGAAGCTCCAGGCACAGTCCACAACAATGCTGTCCCCAGTCCAATTTGTGAATTGTGGGAAGGTCACATGACCAAGAATTGATTTGAATGCTCGGGTACCAACATATCTGCCCAGTTGTGTCAAGCCAAGAAGATTATAAGTACTGCACACTAAAAGGAAACAAATGGTCAATAATAAATAACTTTTTCCTCCCCACTGTTAATCTGAGCCAATTTTAATATCCATTTAAGCAAATAAGATGTGAATTAAACTGTGGAAAATAAATCAATGTTTCTATCATGCATCACTTTTTCACCATTTTTAATAGAAATATCTCCAACTCTGACTCATAACCTGTTTGTAAGAAAGAAAAAAGAAATATGGAGGCAAAAATGTTATCACAGAAAAAAATATAATGGAGATGCAACACCAGGATGAACTGTATGCAAAACCATAAAATATTATACTAAGAAATTAACTTACAACACTATGTAAATACATCAAAGATAATGCAAGTTATATTACCTGACTCATTCATCACAACCCGTTCATTAGGCATTTCTGAAAAAAAATCGCAATAAGTTATACATAAACTTTTCACTACTGCACAATTTAGCATATTTTAATAAAAACATATATCAGTTTCCATAAGACACTGAGAAACATATATAATAATCAAATTTGAAAAAAAAAATTAAAAATGCCTAGTACTAGGCCTTCAGGACACAACTACCAGTACAAAATCCACTGGTCCAAAACAAAAATAGTGGCAAGTAACAGAACACATTTTTATTACAAAATCTTACTGGCCCAGCTCTATTAAAAAGGCCTTTTAACTTGTAATTTAAATAAAAAAATCTAATATAATCTTTATATAAATGGCATTTTCTGTAATCTTTTTTTTTTGTGTGTGTGAAAAAAAAGTGTAACCTGCATAGCCTTTATGGAAATCTTATAATTTTGAATTAGGTACATCATTTAAAAAAAGAGTAAGGCAGCAAAGCTGTCAAATGCACAGACAAAAACAAGAAAATAATAATGCACAAAATAGGATACTGTCAATTCTGAAACTACACGGTCAAAACCAAATTTTAATTATGCACAAAAGGTAATACTGATATAAGGAATTTAGCATAAGGCCCATGAGAGTTTAAGTTCCCACTTTGAAAATGCCAGAATGTTAAAAAAATTGAAAAATTCACAAAAATTGCATTAATTCAATAAAAATGAGCATCCAACAGAGCTGGCTTTCTAATTTGAGCTATGTCAATCCTAAGAATCATTCTTTCAGTTTAAAAAATAATAAGTAACAATTTCAATTTGAATTTCATGCTAGGTAACCTCCCCCTACCTCTGAGCAATTTTTTTTTAATCGGGAAGACCATTCAACTAATTTCATAGAAAAAATGTCAAGCCCTGGAGGCAATATACTAGGCGTGGTTTTGAAAATGTCCCAAATGTCACTTTATCATGTTGGCTTTAAACTGTTTGGACCAATCAAAATTGACCTCACTGACTGACTTCGTTGAAGGGGGGGGGGGGGGAGAAGCAGATTGCTTGGCTTTTTAGTTGATCCTCTTATATAGTGTTCATATAGTACCTGTTATAAACTTGTACTCAAACTTAAAAATGTCTCCACTAAACCTGGTGTCATTGGTAACATTGGGTTCATATTTTACAGTGACAACATTCCCAGTAGAGACAAAATAAATCCTCTTATTAACAATGGTTTTCTTGTCATTTTCTTCACAATCACAATCATAGATCTGAAAAAAAAATTACAACAATATTTTAGAAATTTAACAATATAATATGATAACATAACAACTAGACAAATGTAAAAGTATAGAATACACATATGTAAAACAAGACTTTTTATGTCTAAATATCCTACAAAACTTCTTATTCTTCCTAAATTCAGACCTTAAAAATAATAAACCCTCATAAAAAGTACCTGATGCCAATATTCTCTTCTGATATGTCACAAAGAATGCGAATCTAAATTGAGTTATTTAATTAGTTATGAATGGTGCAAAACATTAAACCCAAGTACAGAGATTGACAGTTGGAGAAAATTGCTTATTTGGCATGAAAATTTTGTCAATGATACCTTTTGAAAATGTGTATCCTGTCAAGAAAAAAATTAATTTTGACTATCATGTGGTATTTTAGTATGGACAAAACTCTCACATACTTCAAAATAAAGAGTGACAGAGAGCAACAATTCTAAGTGCCAGTATTTGAATCTTTTAGCACAGTGTGTCTGGAAAAAAGTCCTTAAGTCAGGCAAAGTTTTCATGAATGTGGATCCAAATGCACAGCTGGTATAAAGAGTTTTCAACATGTGTGATCTATTATACTCACCAACAGTCTACTCTTATAAGACACAAAAATGTCTATAGTTTTGAGTTCTATAAATCCAGCCAAATAGGAACTTGTAGATTTGGAGACCAATCTATAGATGACAGGAGTTAGACCAAGACTGGGAAAATTTGGAGATTTTATGTAACCACTTTCTGTGTCAAATCCAGTTATGTTGATTACAGGCACATTAGCTTTCTGGCCCCTGGAACCCTGAAGCTGTATTATGAAAAGGATCCACAGAGCCCATATTGTGCTACTTGCTGAGAACCTGGAATGAGAAAAAAAAGCATGCCTTTATTTTATGCAGTTGTATCTCTTATTTCATACGTTTATTATAGCCTTCTTTATTAATCTTGTTTCTTTTTGAATAACTAAGGAGTGGTCAATCCTAACACACATCAGAATGTGTATCAGTCCAGCATAAAAATTGCAACACACCACAATACAGTACAGTGCAATACACTATACAAAATGGTGCCAGATGCAAGTAAACACACCAAAAGTGTCAATCTCAAGAATAATATTATTAATATATATTACAGTATTAGGCAGGACTTTTCCTGTAGGATTGGCAATTATACCGGCCAAAAATAGCCACTCTCCAACATGGCCATCGACCTGATGATAAACAGAACTTGCAGATTTGTTTTAAGTTGTTTCAACAATATATATAACCCTGTAATAGGCATTTATTTCTTTTTTATATCACCATTTTTTGCTGGGAATGCCCATTTCATATGTTTACTTGTGACTGTACCTTTTTTAGTGTATTGCACTGTGTTGCACTGTATTACGCAATTCAGTCTCATCCAGTTATGATTGTACCGGTATAGCATCTAAATTTCGATTATAATCACTTCTTAAATCTTCACTTAATAAGCTGTCTAAATTTATCTGCATCTGCCCTATTATATGTAGTTGCCTTAACTATAGTATCGCCGGTATTTGTGCACCCTTGTTCTTCATTTACTTCACAATGTCACTTTGTAACCAAGCGGCCAGTAAACGAGTTTGGAATTACGCAATACATATATACCCAGTATCTATCTGATTACTACTGTAAAATAATATGGTGATGCAATTTTCAAAATGAAATATTTAATCTGTCGGCTACCAACTTACAAATTCAGAAACATGTACAGTTATAAGTCAGGTTTTTGGAAATATAAAAAAGTGATTTTAAAATTGTCTATTACCTTTTAACACCACCATACATTCTGTGTAGGGCTCTGAACACTGAACACACGACCAACCCCTCTGTTATTATTGCCTTAAATAGTTGACCTAATTGTTCTCTACATATAAGTATGAGGTCAACCAAGATAAGCTATTCATAGTTGCACAATAATAATGAATGATGTGAACTACATGCATATGACGCAACACAGGCACCTGATTAAAAATCAGCATTGTGCGTGAAACATATGTGCGCCTAACTTAGCGGTTATACGCTATATCACTTTTAACAAAGAATCGCGTCTTGCTATAGTCTAGTATCAAAGAGTCCAATACTCCTGAACGCTAAGATACAGGTATATGAAAGCAAATATTCCCAGTAGAGACAAAATAAATCCTCTTATTAACAATGGTTTTCTTGTCGTTTTCTTCACAATCACAATCATAGATCTGAAAAAAAAATTACAAAAATATTTTAGAAATTTAACAATATAATATGATAACATAACAACTAGACAAATGTAGAAGTATAGAATACACATATGTAAAACAAGACTTTTTATGTCTAAATATCCTACATTGCCTTAAATAGTTGACCTAATTGTTCTCTACATATAAGGGGTGTGACTGAAATGCGCAATACACTGCAATACAGCGTAACACAGCGCAATACACTTGATAAGACAAGTTCAGTTGCAAGTAAACACAGGAAAGGGTAATCTCAAATAAAATAGGGTGATATAAAAGCAAAATATAATACATAGTAATTAATATTGCTGATACAACTTGACAATTTTTTCATTGTTTGGTCAGCCGCCATGTTGGGGAGTAGCTTTTCTTGGCCAGTAATATATCCAAGAAGAGCCACTAGCCAACATGGCTGCCAACCGGACAATATAAAAGTCTTGCTGATTTGTTAAGTTATATCAACGATATTACTTACCTAGTAATATAGGTTGTTTTTATATCACCCTACTTTGCTGGGAATAGTCATTTCTTTAGTGTAATTGCAACTGGATTTGAATTTTGAAGTGTATTGCGCTGTGTTGCGCTGTGTTGCCCTGTATTGCGGTGTATTGCACATTTCAGTCACACCGACATATAAGTATGAGGTCAACCAAGATAAGCTATTCATAGTTGCACAATAATAATGAATGATGTGAACTACATGCATATGACGCAACACAGGCACCTGATTAAAAATCAGCATTGTGCGTGAAACATATGTGCGCCTAACTTAGCGGTTATACGCTATATCACTCAATATATTCAAATTGCGAAATCCAAAGTAGAGGAATTTTGTTAGCTATTCCGTGATTACATAATTTAAAAAGCAATTTTGATAAAACAATGCCAGAGTCTGGCAGTTTGTGGACAGGCAGAAAAGCTTGTGCGCATTGGTTAATTGAATTAATAATAATTAGTAAATGTCCCAAACGCCAGATAAAAGCGCAGGCCTAATTTGTTTACATCTGAGTACATATGGGTACTGGTACTACCTGGTAGTACATTTTATATTGATCATTATGATCAAATAACTTCAGGACAAATCAAAGTTGTGAGGTGCTTACAATTTTATTACTTGCATAATAATAATAATAATAATAATAATAATAATAATAATAATAATAATAATAATAATAATAATAATAAAAATAAAACAAAAAATAAAAAAATTACAAGTCTATTGCTCTGTTCTTGTGTGCGTTTGTTTCAGGAAAATTACTGTTGGCGTGATATTTGCTTGAAAACTTTTGTGTATATTACTAATAGATCTGGGATGAACCCTATTGATTTTCATAAGGATCGTTTTTATTGTCAATATGCTAAATATCCTGATGGTTTGAAAAATTAACGTGAAAAATCCCACTGACAATTAAAAAAATGATGCTTTAAAATTTTAGTTGTAAACTCATCAAGTCGTGTGAACTTATATACCCGCAAGGTTTGACTTCTTTGATCTTAAAACTCTGCTGTTGATAATTATATTAATTGGGCTAATCTTTTTATTTTCCTAACCACGTTCATTCGAAGTCATACCGGTATATATGTTGCGTGCCGTTAATTGGTGAACAAATTGTACACAAAGTGCTTGACAGGACAGGTCAAATCAGCACGACGTTCAACAGTGGAAGCAAGACTGTTTCGAACCAAACGCTGAAGCCAGTTGCTGGGGGAGGGGGGGGGGTGGCAGGTTTTTGCTGGGAAGGGTTGGGGTTGGTGGGGGGGGGGGTAAGAAGATGTTTTTGCTCGACAAACGTAAAACATAGATAATAGATATACATAGTATTAGATATACATAGTATAGTATATACATATGGTATTTACTGCAATGTACATGTCGGCCTACGTGTGTGTAGAGCAAATGTTTGGAAAAAATTCCTTGTATTTTGTTACTTCAACTCGCGATGTGCAAACGTGATCGCCAAATAGGCCTAAGTAAACCAATAATTAAAAAAATCATACCTANCTATTTCATTATTATCATATTGAACTAGTGAAATAGAAATAAACACATAGGCTCCTATACCCTAGAATTACGTCGTGGGCCGACATCCTTCATCCCTCATATTGTTAGCGGAGTAGAACTTATGCATATTCTTTACAAACACCGAAAGCGGCTTTTTTAGATTCTTATTTATTTATTTATATTAGGATTATGTAAGCAGCTGTGGAAAGGACACACGCCCGCTGTTTCTCTCCCTAGGTGCTCCTCCAGGTATCTTAGGTTGAGGTGTTTCTAAAATGAATCGACAGCGTTGAAGTGGAAAGAGACTGCCTTCTGTGTCATGACTAAGTCATCAGTAAAACGATTTCAAAAACAAAAGCCTGTGAAGGAAACAGCGGATTTATCTTTTTTGACGCTTTTTGCAAAAATAGGGCTTCGGAGAGATCTAAAGGAATGCATTGGCAGAGTTGAAGTGGAGGAATCTATCTTCCTTGTTAGGACTTCGCCTCTTGCGTGTATCTGTCGTATTACTAAGCAATGGCTTTCAAATGTTTCTTGAATTACTTGAAGCACAGCGACTGAGTACGTTTCCTCTTTTAGCTTCAGAGTGGTGACGATGGATAACGCGCTATTTCACTATGGTCCTCAGCTCGTCACCAACAACGCACTTCATAATAACTTGAAGAAAAAACGGTCAAAATTTTGGTAAACTTGCCGATTTCAGTCAGTAAGATATATTTTCGAATACCGGTAACACACACACACACACACACACACACACACACACACCATATATATATATATATATATATATATACCGGGGGTATATATACGTGTAGTCTATGAATAAAGTTTATTCAGAAGGAATTTATCAACTTCTTAAGAACTGTGGCTGTTATTAATTCATAATTAATAAGAAAAACAATTGAGTAATAACAACAACAAAACAAGTATTCAGGACTTTCTAATTTGGCTTTCCACATATTGAATGTTGTAATAACACCAATTAGAAGACAGGCGAGAAATTCATTATAGCTAAAACAGATTGGCGTTAAGCTAATACGTGCAGATCAGACAGCTTATTAGTTTCATAAGCGCATTACAAAATACAAATGTTCTTGTTAATTAACATTTTTGGGGTGAAAATATCCGCTTAAGGTTTTGCACGAAATAATTGTGAGATATTTGTCCTAAAAGATGTAATTATTGCCTCTCCTAAACTACACAGCTGCCAGGTCGAATTACGCAGATGCCCAATTACACTCGCATAATTGGTCATGCAACAATCCTATTGGCAAAGATTCTCAAAGATATAAGGCCAACTCTCACTAAAAATAGCATATAAAATAAAGTGAAGAAAGACATATGATAAATTAACCAAACAGAGTGAAAGATATTACTGAAAATTTAGTACGAACACTGGATGATACACCCATAAAAACAGATCTCAAGAAGGCATTTGCAAGTCATTATAATATATAGTTTTTAAATCAAAATGAACGAGAAAAAAAGCAAACTCATTACATATAAATCATTCAAAACAAATTATGAAAGTGAAACACACATGACAGCGCAAATATCAAAATGCAACGAACAAAATCTAGCAAAAATCAGAATAGGGTCGCACTTTTTTAAATTCCGAAGAAGCAGTTTTTAAAAATTTAAATCTGTTCTCCCTGAATAAAGATTTCGTAAACTATCCTCCGAAGAAGTTATAAGAATTTTTGAATTTTGTGATATGTCCCATACACAAAAAAGGAACTTTTGTAAATAGACGCTGCAAAACTCCAAGCGACCAACTCAAGCATCTTCTGCAATCACTTGACTTAAAAAGGATACAGGATATCGACCATTATATTACGAATTTCTGTTCAGTAGCACTAGCAAATAAACCAATCACTACCTTGTTAATAATATCGAAACTGATTATATACCACAATAATGATAATGTTTCGAAAGCAACCATTGTGAAAATCTGTTTGTAAACTGTTTTGGTAGTTTTATCGCTAGCTCATATAGCCATTGTAAAAATATACTCGAACCGGAATAATAATAATAATAATAATAATAATAATAATAATAATAATAATGGTATCAACTTTGCTCAAGGCATGATTTTATCTTCGATCAACCAAACTTTTTAAATCTTGACTAACTAGGTGAGAGAGGCTACTGTACAATAGCACCAGGTCTGTAGAGTTTCTGATATTAAAAAACAACATGGCCCCACCTGATGAAATCAATTTTTCCCAATTTGACTTTTGTTCTTCTGCGTCAATTTCTGTAGTACTTCCATTTTTTAAAAATAATGAAAAGCGTGAAATGCGAAAATGTACTGACTGCCCACAAAATACAGCAGGTTGAAGTTGTAATTATGTTTAAACCTTTACCATAAGACGATGGGAAAGGCCATGATGTTCATAAAGAGTAGTGGTAATGGCGGCTTTTTACCTCCCACATGCGACAGATGCTTCTGCGGCGGAGGCGGCAATATGAAGTTGTAGCGTGCACTGCGTAAATTTAATAAAGATTACTCTTATGCACAGGGTTGGTTCTCATTACCAAGGTGGTAAGTGTTACCTATAGTGACGATTCTTTGGGTCATCATCAAAACAAATAATCTTGGTTATTTTGCCACTAAACACGCAATCACT